TGTGTATTGTGTTTTTGACTGTTAATCTTGGCGGATTTCCTTTCTTGTGTATCTTCGGTAGTCCCTAGGCTGTCGGTGGTCTTGCGTCAGTTTAGTTTAAAGATTTATCGTTGACTTCATCGACAAGCGTGGTTTAACAGTGAACCTTATCAATGCAAGCACTGCCACATCTTTGTGGGCTGACACACAAGAGACTATGGATTATGAAGTTTTAGATTTGTTATTACGGATAGAAACAGGATAGACGCGGTGGAGACTGGAGCTAGTTGGCTGACAATATGTTTTATCAGAGACGTGGTTCATGTAGCAAAGGCGTGACCATCAGACTTACTCAGATGATTTAACCTCTAATTAGTCACCCGGACGCAGGGGAGTGTTAATAACGCCGAGAGTAGCACAGATGAAGTGGCAAAAATCAAGTGAAATTCTTGAACCAGGGCGATAGCAGACGGAAGATACGGGTCAAGAGGGAGACTCTGCTAAGACCTAGGGAAGGGGAACTGCGTAACAATATGGCAGACTGATCAGCATTCCCATAACAAGGCTGAAGGAGGGGTCAGAACACCAGCATGAACTGTGGAAGGTTCTCATGATAGCAGCTTAAATGGGCACATTAGACTACATTTGAATAAGCTCGGTAAAAAATTGTAACAGCGGAGGCGTGATACGAGGATATAGGAAATGTCAATAGCCCATGGCAAGAGGGATACTACAACTGTTTAGCACACGTTTGGCTAAAGGATCGGCTTCATCTTTCTCTTTGAAGAGTTCTTGTATGGTGCTAAGAATGGCGAAACTCACTGAGGATTCCGACTATGATGCCGACTACAAGTCTGGAAATGTTCCACGTCCACGGTCCGACGCGATTATCATGCCTACAATGGACTCCGGACTAAGTGCGTTCCTCTAAGTTTTCCTACCATTATGACCAAGTTTCAAAAGCAAGGTCAAATAGCTTCTCTACAACGAAGGGAGACTGCGCCCACACAAAAAGCCACACCCTCTTGGTCTTCATTATCCGTGTACCAACTAAACTTCAAGTAATAACGTTTTTTAGCCTTCTGCCTAACTGAGGATACTCGATTGTCTGGAGTGCATGATCGATGAATGCCAAGATCTCGCATTCTCTTTAATTAGTCTTGGCTGGTTTAATTATTAGCGCAACACTACAAAAAATGGTCTTATTCGCCTATTCTGTTCTTATACTTTAAGAAAAAATAAATAGGCATTCGACTAATCGTACAGGAGGTGAATTAAGCCTTAGATAAAGATAACTTGACGGCATAATGATAAAGTTTAAATATATATCGTATATATGAAGGCCAAGATAGTGTGGCCTTTTGTTTTATTATAGTCCTTAGTTATATGGTATTGGTTTGACCTCGTTTTCCAAACTTGATCGGGACAGCAAAGAGACCTTTTCCTGCGTTCTCTGCCATTGTATTTATGATTTCTAGCTTCAGACCGACGACTTGGTACATTCCCAGACATTTTGCTGGCATTCTCATTGAGAGGCGCCATCCTTAGCACAGAGTTGCAATATATCAAAGTAGCAAATGAGGGCAATCCCCATAACACATTTACGTTCAATTGTCGTGGCATCACTCCTCGTCCCTAGCCTTTATCTAAATTCTAGTTATGTATCTCTTTCTTTAAATTCCATTTCATATCACCTATTTATCTATTCATTATATAATGGGCTCTCATCCTCCAAAGTCGCCTAAGAGTGGATCGCGTCAAATGGATTTAATGAAGCACAATCACCATCGCCTCTCGTTTCAGATGCCGTTTGCTGAGCTTCTGATTTAAATTTAGCCCCCCTCCACCCCGCTCGTCAGTTGTTTCCTGTTACAGATAAAAATCACTGTCTGGCCGTGAAATTTGGCTGCCAATGAGCCCTTAATTCTGGCCCATATTTACGCCATGTTTGAAGATCTAAGACCGGTGATTCTCATGCATAAGCTTCAAACCCATCATCCAGTTATCCTCTCTCTCATCACCACATCTTTCATGCTCTTGGTCTCTATGACTTTCTTGAATCGGAACCGCTGGTGGCAAATTGGATGGTTTCCATTCTCCACTCCCGAATAGCGTACATTTCATTCTTGTCTCTCAAGTTGGAAGTCCTACCTAGTCCTCAGGTTCTAGTCCTTTGTTTATGTTTACTTTAGTTGGTAATCTCTATAGTCAGCCATGTGCAAAGTCGCCTCTCATCACAAGAACTCACGAAAAATGCAGACAAGAAAACACGTACGCACACTGAACCGACCGATATTTTTAACCCAGCTCGGGTTCCACATCCTGATCAATTTGAAATGCGCCTAGATCTTTAGTCGCATTTCTAATTGTGCGCAATTTGTGTGTTTTATGTTTTTCTATTAACTATACCATAGTATATATGCTTACAAAGAGTGTTTGCTCATATTTATTTATTTTCTGTATATTTACATTATGTATCTTTTCGCTCGCCTCATGAAAATTAAACAAACTTGTGTGTATGTAGAACTGTTTTTTAGGAAGCCTTCACTTATCAGTGTTGACTTGGCCTTCATTTTGAGTAAAAGTGTTTGATAAATAATTTAGTTGACAAACACAAGTGACACGGAATGATTAGAACAAGACAAAAACTTGTCGCAAGTTCATCAAGGCTTAATAACTTTTTAATCTAACTCGATTTATCATTTCGAAAGAAAAGTCTGGTATAAAGAGATCGGCTTGCGATCCATAGGTCTCGTCTCCAAAGCAATCCTTCGGTTTCCAAGGAGCCCATTTTACGAAATCATTTCAACCAAGTTTTTCTTCGAAAAGCAAAGTTGAGTAGGACTAACGTATTAAGGGCCACCTCTAAACCCATTTATTCTATACTGTTAAATTTATATATATATATTGTGTATTCTGATATGATTTTGACCATTCTAGACTATAATGCTCCTTAAATTTTATTCGCTGTTACTTTTCTTATATTATAAACATTTTCAATCATTTGTTTCTCAAAAATTAGGGTGAGATGATCGATCGAATCGAGTATAATGTTGAGCAAGCAGTGGATTATATTGAAAGCGCCAAGGCAGATACGAAGAAAGCCGTTAAATACCAAAGTGCTGCCCGAAAGGTATCTCACATTGATCCATCGTCGTGCATCTCAGATGTTGTCAACGTTGTTGTGTCCCCTTTATTGTTTTCTTTGCACTTTTCCCGTTCCGCCCTTATAATAATTTATTTTACTTATATAAAATCGGGTCTTGTCTTTTTCAAGCCTAAACTGTCTGTATTTTTGAAAATTTAGGCGCAACGTTAAATCTGCAGTCACGAGTAGAAATTAGCGATGAAATGAGTAGCCTAAATGTTATTTTATTGCCTTTACTCCTAACATTTATAGAAAATCGCTTACATTAAATCACTTAAAAACCTCGTTTGAACTTCAAAATCGCTCAAAATTAAAAGCTCACCTATTTCTGGAGTCTAGCTTGCATTCATAGCCTTTATTGTGATTATGTCTTGTATTACACAGTTTATTATGATTAATGGGAATCCTTTTTTTAGTAATACCCATAGCATTCCGGTAGTGTCATAACTGATAGCATATACTGTTATTTTGGTTTGTTCTAGTCTGTCTAACGTAAAGCAAGTATCTTAAAATGTGCTCCTCCAAATATATTATAGACCTCAGTGGCTTCAGCTATCTGTCCTCACAGCCCCATGTTTATTTCCTAAACTGGCAACAGTCTACCTAGGTCAGAGTGTATGGCATTCCAGGTCGAATAGAAGATAGGCGAGTGGCTAGATAAAATGGCTCAATGTTGACATGGTCTTTTGCATCCGAGGCAATGGTTGCGTTTACAGAAATAACTAATATTTATAGGTGGCTTACTTTATATGGTTCACATTTGGTCACAAGATGAGTGTTGAGCTTTCTTCCATTTCTAGTGAATGTGTTCGGTTTTGTGCGTAAGGGAACACAAACAAACGCACAAATACAGTCACTCACATGCATTGAAC